GTGAATCTCTATTTGTGATTACTTGATTCTCTGTCACCACTTTTTCATGTACTTCGCTTCACTTATGTTGTAGAACATGTTTCTCTAGCTGTCTCAATTTTGTATTAACATCTAACCTTCTCACTAAAATCTCGATTGCTCAGACTCAAACTTTAACTAAACATTATTAGGCTCTTCTTAAATTCAATATATATAACAAACGCAACTGCTCCACTTTTTAAAAAATTATTTAAATGTACACGCGTATAGAATAGCATGGCTGCCCTCTACAGTCTGCATGGTGTATGCTTATTTTATTTTAGACTAAACGATTGATTCACTGGATTTCCATTTTCTGTCTGGTGGGGTTAGTTGCTTCGGGAGGGACTTACAAAGTTACAGAGTACTCTTGAAAAAAGACTAAAGTCCATCAAGTTCCACCTTGAAATCCATTCGTTTATACTGTTCCAAAAGGCAAAATTCAATTGTAGCAATTTACAATTATACCACAAAAAGAGAAAAAATCCTTCTTGACTTCATAATGGCAATCAGATCTCTCCTTGGGGCCGCTGTCCCGCTATCCTGTCTGTCTATAACTAGCAGTACCTTTGGCGATACGTGGAGCTGGCCTTTCCCCCCCCCACCCCTCTTGGACTGGCAAGGGTGATCCCGGTCCTCACTGGTGCACTATCCCATTTCTAACAGAGAGTTATTTTGAGATCGCAAATCTGAGGCCTAAGATGGCGGCCAACCAAGTTTGCCACGCTAAGACTCTTCTACAAAGCAAGGCTCACTCTGTGTCAGGATTACAAGTTGATCCAGCATGCAGAACTGTGTCACACCTAGGACTAAGGATAACATATAACCGGACCTAAGAATGGCCGGACTTAACGTATCCAAGAATAGTCAAAATGCTTGCCGAGGTCAGGAACACAGAATCAGACACAACGATGAGGGAAAGCCAAAAGTCAAGGATACCAGAATTCAGGGAAGTCAAAATTAAGCCAAAGTCAAATACCAGAAAATCAAGATCAGGAACGCACTTTTGGATTACCATCTGGATGAAACCACGAGAGGGCAATGAGCAAAAGGAGAATTGGGTTTAAATACCCCTCCTGTGGATCTGATTGGCTGTAACCGTCCTTTGACCCCTTAAGAAATTACCAGGTTTCCATGTGAATGATTGGTGCTCAGCACAACTTTTCCTGACAGGATGGTAAATGCCATTAACCACATTTTTATGTGAGGATGAATACGTGACATTCTGGCCTTTGATCACATATGGGCTCAATTCTGGGCTACAATACGCCACAGGATGCAGAGACATAAGACACCCTTACCTTCGAATACTCAACGGATTATTCAAGCTAAGCCTGCTCACTGCCCTTCATGTCGCCGAGACAGGAGCTGAAGGAGAGACCAAGACAAGTGATTCACTATTGAAGAACAGGTTCCCGATTGCACCACCACTTACGTAGACCGCGATCCACATGGGGTCATCACCCATCACACGGCTCACATCCT